CTCATTCTAAAGCATGTGTGAAATAAGTTTATCATTTCATCCAAAGTTAAAACTGTGGACATCAGCAATTTGAATCTTTCACAATCAAGCTTTTCAAATGAGAAAAGGAAAACCCATTTAGGTAACTGCAGATTTCCCATGTGGGTTTTCGGTACCCGACCAGAAAAATATTGGATGTAACTTAGATAATTTAAATAGGTGCATGATTGTATTATGTAATTGTTGCAGCTGAAAGAGCAAAACCTGCTTGCATGAATGGGTGAGAATGGGTGAATGAGACAAGTTGTGTTGTGAGTGCTCAAATAGAGTAGAAAAGCGCTATGTAAGAACCAGTCCATTTACTTTAAACATTACTATTTAATATATCATTATATTTACAAAACAGTACATTTCAAGCTCTTTTGATGCTCCATGTTTATATTTTAATGTTGGCACATAACTTATGTGGCTGTTGGTGAAAAATCAAAGTGTCTTTTGGAATAAATAAAAATCTTCCAGTGTGGCCAAAGCCAACTCAGTGCAAAACGTCTCATCTGGCAAAGACACCAAGCGGTCCAGAGAGATGTAGTTGGGCAGGGTTGGATCATACTGAGCTTTTCCAAGATACTCGAGGAACAGGTGGCGCTCTCTGAGGCGCAAGTACTTGGAATTGAGGACCTGGAAAAAGATGTCAGATACTGGAGTTAGAATTCCTCAAAACAGCCAAAGAAAATCAGTTCATAGTACTTTAAAACTTGAAAATATGAGTGCAAGAGAGACCTACCTGTGGGAACTTGGTGATAAGGTGGTGGGGTACTTTCATGGTGTTGTGGATGAAGTCAAATATCTCTGTCAGCTTCCTTTTATTGGCAGTCAGAAGTTTGGGCACAGCGAGAACTATGTGCTGGATCTCGTTTCTCTTAAAGCCAAGCTCTATTTCACACACCTGTAGAGTAAATCAACAAAATCTACTGAGAACAGCACATCTAAAACTGACAAGTTCTAATAATGTCTTCTGTTTTTTCTGTACCTTTAAGTTTTCTTTAACGGGCTCCAAACTGCCACACAGTAACCTGGGAAGACGAGCTACAATATTCCGTGTCTGGGGAGAAATGCAAAACAACCTATAAGCTGTAATAACACACTATAACAAAAGCATAATAGTACGGCTCATATCTTATATCTCCTATCATAGCTGCATACATTGTTAGCACTGAGGCTAAGTTGCTGCTGATAAAAACCCAATCTGTTGTCCAGCCTGTTCACGCTGAAGTTGAGCAGATAAGGAGCTCTGGACACCATGGACGCAACCGTCTCTGAACTGAAGTTCTTTGACTTGAGGTAGTTCACCCT